CACACGCACACTGTACTTTAATCCTTGGTTGGCCAGGTTGCGAGAAAGCATACTTCAAGGTTACATTTTGTTCATCCACCAAACCCCCAAGCCTACAAAACAGGACTGGACAAAATGAAGAGAATCTAAACAAATGGAGAGAGACATCATATTCATGCATTAAAAGGATTGATGTAGTTAAGATGTCAACCTTCCCTAATCTATAGATTAGATACCTATCAAAATTCCATTAGGTTTTTTATTTTGTTTTTGGTAGAATCGACAGGCTTATTTTATTTTATTTTTGTGCCGACATGTTCATAACCCCATAATTGATGATTGGTAAATTATTATGCTGACTTTATAGCTCCATAATTGATGATTGGGAAAGTCACTGTGTGCCCTCTAGCTGAACCTGTTTCATAAAGAATTTCAGAATACTCCCTGAACCAAGAGATTGTTGGGGGCTATGCATCTGACAGAGACCACGGAGCCTGGAGGTCTTGAGTCAGAGACTCGAGCTCCCCTACAATCTCAAGGAATTAGGCTTGCATTGTGATAGTACAGCTCAGAGCTAAGAATGACCCAATGTACCGTGAAAGGCCTGGGTGTTCCTTGGTGTGTCTGGGTGTTCTTGGGTGTGCTTGGGTGTTCCTGTTATCCACAAGGCAAACTAATTCTATACAGCATTGTTGTAGCCCTGGGCGTTATATCAAGAAGATCCTATTTTTGTCCAGCCCGTGTGGCTCAGTGGTTGAGCACTGACTCATGCATCAGGAGGTCACTGGTTTGATTCCCAGTCAGGGCACATGCCCAGGTTGTGGGCCTGATCCCCAGTGGGGAGCATACAGGAGGTGGCCAATCGATGTTCTCTCTCATCGATGTTTCTATCTCTCTCTCCCTCTCCCTTCTTCTCTCTATAAAATTAATAAAGGGGGGGAAAAAGAAGATCCTATTTTCTTATATCATTAAACTTTTGCATGTAATAAAGTGTAAGGTATAAAAGGCATGTAATAAAGCATATCGAGGCTGATCTACAAAGGCTCTGTCACAGGGGTGTTTGGAATCAGACGCCGGCCGGCTAATAAACGGCTCTTAACTTCAATTCTCTAGTGATCTTTCTTTGACTCTGTCACGCCACAACATTTGTGCTTGATGTTTTATTAGAATTCTGCATTGTTGATTACCTCATTTTCTCCTTTTTAATTGAATTTATTAGGGTGACACTGGTTAACAAAGTTATGCAGGTTTCAGGCGCACAGTTCTACAACACATCGTCTGTACACTGCAATGTGTGTTCCCCACCCCAAGTCGAGTCTCCGTCCATCACCATTTATTCCCCCTATGCTGTCCTCCACCTCCCTCCACCCCCTGCCCTACCCCATGGCAATCACCACACTGCTGTCCTTTTACACGAGCTTATTTTTAAATTTATATGGAAATGCAAGCAACCTTGTTGAGCCTCAAATCCATTTTATAAAAGAATAACATTTAGGAAGACTCACAGCACCTGATTTCAAGAGCATAGAAAGCTACAGTCATCAGGACAGGGTGGGGCTGGGCATGCGGGTTGATGGAACGGAAGAGAGAATCCTTCTGTAGACCCACAAACGGGTGGTCAATTTCCATAAAGTGCCAAGGGGATTCGATGGGGAAATGAGTCTTTTCAACAAATGGTGCCACAACAATGACACAGCCACATAGGAACAAAAACAAATATCAAAACCTGCTTGCACCATACATAGAAACTAGCTTGACATGGATCATAGATCTCTACGTAAAAGTTAGGGCTGTCAAACTACGAGAAAGAGAATCTTTAGGGGAATGAAACGACTCTGTACACTACTATAGTGGTAGGTACACATCACCATACATCTGCCAGAACCATAGACTGGACAACACTGGAGTGAAGCCTAATGTCAGTTCTAGTCTATGGGTGACAAGGCTGTGTCCTTGTAGGTCTCTCAGTTGTAGCAAATGTACCATCTGGTGGGGGATGTTGACAGTGGGGAGGCTGTGTGTGAGTAGGGGCGGGGGTCTATGGGAACTCTCTCTACCTTCTGCTCAATTTTACTATGAACCTGAAACTGCCTTTAAAAAAAAGTCTAGCCCTGGACGGTTTGGCTCAGCTGTTAGAGCATCGGCCTGCGGTCCAGAGAGACCCGGGTTCGGTTCCCACTAAGGGCATGTACCTCGGTTGCAGTTTGTCCCCGGCCCTGGTTGGTCGTGCGGGTGGCAGCCACTTGATGTGTCCCTTTCACGTCGATGTTTCTCTCTCTCTCTCTCTCTCTCTCTCTCTCTCTCTCTCTCTCTCTCTCCCTCCCTCCCATTCTACTTGAAAAAAAAAAAGGAAAAATGTCCTCGGGTGAGGATAAAAAAAAAGTCTAACTTTTTTCTAACTGTAATCCATTCAGCTCCCAAATTGTATTATTCTAAATATTTAAAAACAATTTTTTTCTTTATTGATTTTATAGAGAGAGGAAGGGGAGGGAGAGAGAGATGGAAACATCGATGAGAGAGAAAAGCGATTGGCCGCCTCCTGCGTGCCCCCCACTGGGGATTCAGCCCCCAAGCCGGGCATGTGCCCTGACCTGGAATGAAACCAGTGACCTCTTGATTCGTGGGTCAATGTTCAACCACTGAGCCACACTGGCCGGGAGATTCTAAATATTTTTAAACAACAAACAATTCTCAATCATTGATCTTTAAAATCTGTTTTAAAGTTTGTTCTGAGTCTCTAAACCAAGTTAAACATTTAAAAAAATATTCATATGCATTCTTTAAAAGTAGTATACTTCCTTTATCATTTTAAAAGGCATTTTATCTTTAACAATTACATAAATCACAACACAAATATTTATACTCAAATAGCAACTACACAATAGCAGAGGAAAAAAAAAAACTTGACAGCACAGCCTGTTTGCAACGCTAAAATGTCATCCTGTCTGACCAGCAGGTGGCGTACGAATCCTGAAGCTTGGCATTTTTTTCCTGATAATCACCAGAGATGAATCCAGCCTTTTACCTTGCAGTGCCCCCTACCCTTTACCTCCCACGCCCACCCGGGGCTGGCTGCTAGAGCTGTTGGGTGAATATGATCAGTGGTGGGCGCATGAAGAATCAGCCCCCGAACCCTCAGCTTGGCATCTTCATCTGGGTGCCCTTCGTTTAGGGTCACTGTGATGGGTAGAATGATTCCGGGTGTGTCTGGAAGAGATTAGCTTTTGATTCGGTAACTGAGTAAGGAGAGCTTCCAGTGCTGGTTGGCTTCATCCACTCTCGGGGGCCCGAACAGGAAAAGGATGAATTCTTCCTGGGCTGAGGCGTCCATCTGTCCTGGCCCATGGACTCGGACCTCCTGGTTCTCAGGGCTTCAGACGGCAGGGCTTATACCAGCTGCCCTTTGTTCTCAGGCCTTTGGCCTCAGACTAGGGGTTACACCATGGCCCCTGGTTCTCAAGCCTCCAGACTTGGACTGTGTGGTACCATCAGCATCGCTGGTTCTCCACCTTGCAGATGGCAGATTATGGGACTTCCCAGCCTCCATAACTGTGTGCACCAATTCCCAGAATAAATCTGCATGCATCTATTTCGATCCTGTTGGCTAGTCTAGAGAACCCTGCCTAACACAGCGACTTAGCACAGGTCACTCTTTTGCCTAGTTGTTACCTGATACGCTGATTTCAAAACATGCTATTGTAGTCTACCTTGACAGGGAAAGTCGGGCTGTGTTATGGGAATCAAGTCAATCTCTCACTGACGGAAACAAGCCCACCGAAAGGTTCTATCTTTGTTCATCCTCACCAAGGGATATTTTTTTCCCACTCAGTTATGTGGACCGGGAATTGAACCCACAACCCTTTGGTGCATGGGCCGATGATCTAACCACTGAGAAACACCAACCGGGCCAAAAGTTTATACTTTTTATTATTTATTTATTGGTATGTGCAGGAACCGAACCCGGGACTTTCTGGTCTGCAGGCCGACGCTCCAACTGCTGAGCCAAACCGGCCAGGGCAAAGGTTATACTTTTAATGAGGTATAGAAATACTGAGAGTCCAGCCAGTGTGGCTCAGAGGTTGAGCATCGACCCATGCACCAAGAGGTTACCGGTTTGATTCCTGGTCAGGGCACATGCCCAGGTTGTGGGCCCGATTCGCAGTGGGGGGGCATGCAGGAGGCGGACAATCGATGTTCTCTCTCATCGATGCTTGTTTCTCACCCCCTGTCTAAAATCAATAAAGGGAAAAAAATACTGAGAAGTGTTATGTTGCCTGAACCGTATTTGCTAAGGGGATTTGGATGTGATCCCTGGCCATAGACTGTTTAATTCCCAAACGACTGCCACCCACCAGGATGACAAGCATGGGTTGGGGAGGCCCGGTGGCTGGGTTCTTCTGCAGTGTGGACAGCCCCTTCCAGACGTGGGGGCGCTGCCCTGTGCCGTGAACCCTTCCTGGCACAGCCAGAGGCTGGGAACAGACCTCTGGACCCACCTGGGGAACCATGAGGACTGGTCATGTCCAGGGTCGGCAGTGAGGTCCCCTTCACTTCAGTGGTTCATTGGCCACTTGGCATGTTCCAGTTGCATTAGTACTCACCACCGAGCGGCCAGTAAGGAGGGAAGAGATGCCCCAGAGAACCGGGGAGGAGAGCGATGCTGAGCCAGGGGCCCAACCTCATCCTGATAGTTCCTGATCCGGACCACTCAGTTACACCAGTAACTGGAGAGTCCAGGGGTGTAAACGGGAAACGGGTTGACAGACCACAGAGGACCAGACAGTTGCCATGGAAACTTTATTTCTGACCACTCCTTTACATCCATCAGCTGCAGGATAACTCCCACACCTGCACCGCAAGCCCAGATCCCCTCCATCAATTCACATTCCTGTTTCTAACTATAGGATACTTGCCCTTCTAGGTCCCATCAACTCCCCAACTTTTGCCCCTGCACAATGCACCTCAGTCCTAGGATTCAGCTGGCAAGTGCCCAAAGGAAAGCTTTTTGCTGATGCACCCCACTAAGCAGGGTTTTCACAGGGACACAGAACGGGCTCTGTATCATAGAATTTCTTGTTGCCACAGTGAGGACAGGGGCTGGTGCTGAGCCAGATGGTTCTGGGCTTTCCTAGCTTCTTCAGAAACGCCATCAGCTCAGCCCGGATTCGGGCAAATGTCCCCAGCTCCAGAGCCCCCTCGGAGCTGTAGGTCTCCAGGGGGGCTGGGTACAGCTCAAGGCTTAAATTGTGCAGCCCGGCCGTGTGGTGCAGCAGCTTCTCCACAGTGGCTATGGAGAGGAGGTTCCCAGAGATGCTCAAGACCCTGAGCTGGTGGCAGCGGCTCAGGACAGGCAGGATGGCCTCCACGTGGGAGTCCTCGAGACCACAGAAAATCAAGTCCAGGTCCTGGAGGGTGGCTGCAACTTTCTCTAGCAGAGCCCGGAGGGGCTCAAGGCTCAGACCGGTGAAGTTGACGCCACTCAGATCCAGGTCCTTGAGCTGACTGAGGTTCGGGCACTGGGACAGATAGATTAAGTCTGATTCTGAAAACAGGCAACCGGTTATAGAGAGCGTCTCCAGGGGGGTCTGCAGGCACCTGGGGAGAGATGGAGCAGTGAGTTCTGGGGAAGGGGATGGCGGGGAGAGGGGGGCCTCCAGGTGGGAAAGGACCGATTTTGCAAGTCCAGGGCTGTTCTGACAACCTGATGAAAGCCAACGCCCGCGATGCCCAGTCTCCTTTGAGGCTCAGTCCTTTCTCTTTTTTTTAATCCTCACCCGAGGACATTTTTCCATTTTTTGTTCAGGTAGAGTGGGAGGGAGAGAGAGTGAGAGAGAGAGAGAAACATCGATGTGAAAGGGACACATCGAGTGGCTGCCACCCACACAACCGACCAGGGCCGGGGACAAACTGCAACCAAGGTACATGCCCTTAGCGAGAACCAAACCCAGGTCTCTCTGGACCGCAGGCCGACGCTCTAACCGCTGAGCCAAACCGGCCAGGGCGAGGCTCAGTCCTTTTTCACCTTCCCTGTTCCACTGGGTCACGTTCACGGAATGTCCAAAGCTTCCTCTCCTCCCGCCAAGCAGAGCACCCTACTTGTGAGGGTTGAGGGGACATAATGGAAAACACGGGAACATGCTCAGAGAACCTGACCCCGTGTCTCCAGCAAGTGTGGGCATCCCTGAATTTTAAGATTGGGACACAAAACCCAACATGGTCTCAACTCAGGCCTCCTCCTGCCCATAGCTTGGGGCCTAGGCACCCAGCTCTCTGGACCACGGGAGGTAGTTCTGATGCAGAAAGAACAAGCCTGAGACCCTGTGACAGCCACTGGGGGCCGCTCTGCAGGGGCTGTTCCCATCGCTGCAGTACCCGCAGTGACCTGTCTGTCCTGAGCCTGCCTGTCCACCTCTCACTTTTTTGAAAGGTTTTTTATTTTTATTTTGTATTAGCTGTTTCCCATTCTCCCTCTTTCTGGCCCCCTCCACCCAGCTCCCGCCCCGCCCCAGGACTTCCCTACACTCTTGTCTGTCCATGGGTTATGCACATATGATCTTTGGCTAATCTCTCCCTGTCCCCTCCGCCGCCCTCTCCACTGAGTGCTCTTCTGTTCCACCCTTTTTGCATTTCCCTGTACAACGACCTTACCTGGAGCACAGGACAGCCTCCTGCACCTGGGGGGTTGGGGACAGGCTCATGTCTGATCACACAGCTGGTGGGCACAGAGCTTACCTCTGGAAAAGCCAACCTGATGTGGCTCCTCCTCCTCCCCTCTTCCTGTCTTCTCCACCTAGACATGTCCTCCTCCGGGAGCACTCACAGGCCCTTGCTGGGTCTCAGCCCCCTCCCTGTTTGCCCCTCCCCCTTCGTGTGGTCACGTGATACCACACCCAGAGCGGCCAAGGAGACATTGCCCTTGGCCCTCCGGTGTTGCGTTCAGTGTTCCACAGCTCACCTGAGCAGCCGGTCCAGGCGGCCCATAAGGAAGTAGGGAGATTCCAAGTAGAGCTTCCGGAGATGCTTCAGCCTGAGGATCTGAGAGGTGAACCGAGACAGGTGTCGCTCCTCCCCCTCCTCGGAGTCCGGTACGTAGATGTGGGAGAGCGAGAGCCTCTGCAGGTGACTCATCTCACCCAGGTAGGGAGCAAACTTCCCCAGGGTGGACAGGCTCCAGGTGCAGTGAACCTCCACCTCCTGGACGCAGCCCCAGTGCACCAGAGCCAGGACATTCTCAGTCTCCTCCATGGTCACTGCAAACATCTTCAGCGTCTTGCAGCACAGGTGCAGGGACCCTTCTCTCTGCTTGGCCCACCCAATGAGGGAGGTGAAGAACTGATCCTGGATCCTATCGCTGATGCAAAGGTCTATGAGCACCTCCAAGGAAGCCAAGGGCTGCTTCACCCTGCAACTCTCCACAGCCACCGGTCTCGTCGGTGAGCACCCCTGGGCCCCAGCTCCAGACCACAGGTTCCAGAAGTTCTGCCCGGTGTTCCGTAAATCCAGCGTCTGCAGTTTCCACCTCCTGCGGGGAACACGGCACTGGCTGAGATGCTTGAAGATCAGGGTGAGAGCAGAGTAGATGAGACCCAGCATCTCCGAGTTGATGGGACAATTGGACTCCACCCCCACCCTGAGATTTTATCCCATCCCAACTCCGCTTCTCCCTTGCCCTCTTCCTCCCTCCCTGCTTGGCTTTTCTCCATCTCCTCCCCTTTCATCCTTCCTGGTCACTGGGAGGGGGCAGGGCGCGGTTTTTCAGATGCCCCTGCCTCGGGAGCCGACTCCGCTTCCCCAGGTGAGCTCCCCGATGTCCAAGGCCCCTCTGGGTTTCACTGGCACCATCACAGACCTCTGGCCCATGCTTCGGCCCTCCACCTTTCCTGGTCCCCGCTGTCTTCCCGGGGTGCCCAGGACCTGACCCAAGCTTCCTAGATCAGCCTTACCTGGGGCGAACCTTCTGGGCAAGCAGGAGGTCAAGCCCATCTAACGTGGCTTGTAAGGTCCGGCCCTGAGGTAGCTGCATGAGGCCCCCCAGAGGGAGGTAGGAGAAGGGCCAGGCCTGCACCAGCGCCTGCAGAGACTCTGTGTGCTTCCCAAAGAAGGCCTCCATGAACAGCAGCGGGAAGAGCTCCGCCGGGAGGTGCTCCAGACCCGCGACGGCCACGCCCCCGTCCCGCAGCAGGCTCTTTGCCGCCAGGTCCAGGAGCCTGGGCGGGTTCTGGGTGCTCATCTTCAGTCCGCCCCAAAGGGATCCTGTGGAAATGGCTAGGGAGCAAGGCATCCTTGTCAGGCGCAGCCTGAGCACGCCCCTCCTGACTCCCACCCTCCGGGGACGAAGCCACTGCCTGGCAATAGTGAAAGCCTGAGATTTCCCAGTGAACTGAGTCCATTGGGGCTCGGTGGCCCCCTGCTGGCCCCGGGACAAACATCTCGGAAACACACATCTTCCACTCCAGTCCAGCTGGGAAGTGGGTGCTGGGGGACCTGAAAGCTGGAGGTGAAACGTTCAGACCATCACCCTGAAACAATGGAAGTGGAGGTGTCGTGTGGCCCGGACAGCCCGACCCTTCCTTCCCACACTTAACTCACTGGGGAAAAGTAAGATGTCTCGAAAGTGGACGCCATTCAACTTTAACATTTTTAGATGAGACAAGCACACACATGAATGAGAAGAAAGAAACAGGGAAGAAAAGAAATAATTTTTAAAAAGAGAACAAAAGAAAAACTTAAAAAAAAAAAGAGAGAGAGAGGGTAAAACAACAACAAAAATATAATGGGAAATTGTAAAAAGGCCACGTCACAAACAGTATCCTATAGCATTTGGAGGTCAGGTAAAGGCACTGAGACCAGCATTTCTATGCATCACCTCCGTGCCCACTAGACTCACCGCGTCTGGAAGGAGTTCAGGGAGAAATCGCTCACACTCAGCACCCGGACTCCACTCTAAAAATACACACGGAGTGTTCTTATGCTTTTGGCTAAAAACAAACCCTAACCAGCAAAACCACAAAACCAGCAAGTGTGTGAGCTATAATCTAGGAGCACAAGCTAAATATTGAAAATGTCAAGAAATAAAACTCCAAACAGTTAGATGCTTTTCATTAGCAAAAAAAAAAAAATTGACTTGGGGGGGACTGGGATAGGGGGTGTCAGTGCAATGGGGGAAAAGGAAGGACATCTGTAATATTTTTACCAATAAAGATACAGTTTAAAAATATAGCAAAGCAAAGCACTAATCAAGATGTTTGGGATTCAGGCAAAACTACACTTTGAGGCAAAGCTGAAGCCTTAAATCTGCTCATCTGAAAATAAGGAAAAAGGAAAACTCTCCATGCCTCTCAGGCTGCAGGTCCCCATGGAGACTGGCTGCCTTAGGTAAGATGTGGGTGTCCTTAGCTGAGGCCGCGTACTGACCTGGTCTGTTGTGGTGGCCGGGTGCTCAGATCTCAGACCTGGAGGCGAGCAGAGGCCTTGACTGCAGAGCTGGAGGATTCTGTGTCTCTTCTCTGGTGCCCGAGACTTTTATAGGGCTTTTCAACTCCTAATGTCCAATCAAAAAGCGATACCTGATTAGCTTCCTCAGTCTGGTTCCCTTAATCCTGATCATTCTGATAGGATCTGTGCCTTTCTCTCGATTAGTTGATTGGCTCAGACATCCATGTAGGAAAGAGAGTGGATTAGGGAGGGGCAAGGGTGAGGACTCCTGGATTCATACCCTAGACACTGACTGAGGTTTAATGGCTGGTCGTTGTGTGAGACAGGAAACGGTGTAATGGGTTCCTGACTTGAGACCGAAAAAACAAAACCTGGAAACACCATTGTTGGGGGGTCTTTGGCCACATCAAAGTTGCCAGAATGTTCCAGAGTTCAAACAGTATCGAATACCACATGATCTCACTTATTTGTGTGAACAAAGTAAACTGGAGAACCAAAGAGACCCAAAGACATAGAAAGGCTTTGGTTCAGACAGACAAACCTCAGAGAAGGAGGGTGAGGGGCAGGGTTGGAGGAGGGATGAGAGAAACCAGTGAACTTATGTGTATGTATGGGTAACCAGTGGACATATCCACAATGCTGGGGAAGGGGGCAGGATTGGAAGGGAGGTGTCTGAGGGGGAGAGGAGAAACACCTGTAACAAAAATCAATTAATAAAATAAATAAATAAATAAAGACTTCTTTCTGGGTGAGTTTAGAAACTAAAAGGGGACAGGCTGAACTGGAGACAAGAGGGCAAAAAGGAAGATTTGGGCCTGGCTGGTGTGGCTCAGTGGCTGAGCGTCGACCCATGCATGAGGAGATCACCGGTTCGATTCCCGGTCAGGGCACACGCCCAGGCTGTAGGCCCGATCCCCACTGCGGGGCACGCAGGAGGTGGCATCGATGTTCTCTCTCATAGATGTTTCTATCTCTCTAAAATCAATAAAGAAAAAAAGGGGGAGATTCTGTCTTCATCCCTTCCAAGCGGAAAAGCCCCCCCCCCCGGAAAGATGGGATCAGCTCCACAAACTAGCGGGAGGAGATCAGGTCTGAGAACGTGCGCAGACGCGAGGTCCAGCCCCGGACAATCAGATGTTCCCAAGCCTGGGATGGACCAGTGGGCCCTCCGGGGGCTTAGAGCCAGGGAGAGAAATGAACCTGTGCCAACGGCACATGACCCTGTCATCCTCACGGCCGCTGCCACCAGGAGACATTTGTCCAGGGTCAGGGTTCTTGTACAGAGGACCCTCTCCAGGGGCCTTGGGAGCACAACCCGCTGCCCCTCTCCAAGTATATTCCCATCACTGGCGTTTCCTCCCACTCAGGTAACCGTGGAAGCAAAGGCAGCTTCCGAAGCCCCCTCTGCCCCTGAGCTCCAAGGACACAGATTCCGGTCGTGACACACCAGTGCACACAGAAGCATGACTCTTTCATATTAAGCATGGTGGGCAGATACCAACACCTTCCCGCCACAAAATTCAGACGCTGAATGTGATGTTTAAGATCTGCCGTGGTCAGGGGGGCCCTCTCCCGGGCTGCAGCACACGGGTGTTCCCGGGAAGCGTGGGGGGCACAATGGAAGGGAGAATCCCCCTCCACCCCAGAGAATTCTCCACGCCTTTCTCTCCCCCATTCAGTGCGATGCCCAAACAATCCTTAGACACCGCTGGCCTCCAAGGCTAGGATCCTTTGACGGATGTTCTCCATCTTGCTATCTTTCGGGGAGATTTCCTTTGCCACATAGCTACGCTCGGTCTACATGGGCTTTGCTTAAATTTGGGTTAAACTGTATTGTACTTAGTAGATATTTGAACTCCCAGGCAATCACCTTCACTAAGGAGCGGGAGTGAGATTAGTGACGATCATCGACGTCTCCGTTTATTGGACGCTGCGTGAGCAAGGGGCCGGCACTTTTCCCTCACGACCTAAAGCACCTTCCCAGAAAGTCTGAGGCTCGCTGCTGGTCAGGCTGGCGGACCCAAGTCTTGGCTGGAGAGGGGAACTGCCCACGGTCACGCAGCGAGTTATGGGTAGAATTGCCCCCAAAGGCATTCACTCCGTAAGGGGAGGTGAATGTGCTAATTAACTTGATCTTGGTAATCATTCCACAACTATATGTTTATCAAGTTATCCCATTGCACACTTTAAATATCTACAATTATGCTCGTCAACTTGCTCTTCGTTTTGTTTTGTTTTTTTTTTAAAGAAAATACATTTTTTGCCCTGGCCGGTTTGGCTCAGCGGTTAGAGCGTCGGCCTGCGGTCCGGAGAGACCCGGGTTCGGTTCCCGCTAAGGGCATGTACTTCGGTTGCAGTTTGTCCCCGGCCCTGGTTGGTCGTGCGGGTGGCAGCCACTCGATGTGTCCCTTCACGTCGATGTTTCTCTCTCTCTCCCCCTCCCTCCCTCCCTCCCACTCTATCTGTACAAAAAATGGAAAAATATCCTCGGGTAAGGATTTAAAAAAAAAAAAAGAAAAAGAAAATACATTTTATTATAATTCCTTATGAAGCTAAAACAGAGGCAGACCCTTCTAAATAAAGGTTTGAAAAACAACAAATCATCTACAATATTTAAAAATTTAAGATAACAAAGAGGACCCTCCCACAGCATTTCCGCTTCCAGCATGCAATCCTCCTACAGTCACAGCTATAGGGGTTACATCAGCTTCTGAATTCTCAGGTGGAGAAAGATGAGCCAAGTGATCTCTTTTTTTTTTTATATCCTCACCTGAGGACATTTTTCCTATTTATTTTTTTGTTCAGATAGAGTGGGAGGAAGAGAGAGAGAGAGAAACATCGACGTGAAAGGGACACATCGAGTGGCTGCCCCCGCACGACCCAACCAGGGCCGGGGACAAACTGCAAACGAGGTACGTGCCCTTAGCAGGAACCGAACCCGGGTCTCTCCGGACCGCAGGCCAACGCTCTAACCACTGAGCCGAACCGACCAGGGCAAGTGATCTCTTAAAGTAGCAAAACTGATCATTGTTCTCAGCCCTACTGTTACAATCAGTGGGACGGCATCGAAACTCATAAAATCCTTGATACGCCAAGGTTACAGGACACTGATCTCCTAGAAACACTTCTTTGGGGGCCATAGGTAGATTATTACCAAATGCGGTTGACTTGACTCTGACCAGGAACAGAGAGGGGCTGCATCGTACATACACTGTTCTCCAGAGCAAGTCCAAATCAGAGAAAAAAGGTCTTCTTCAGTTTTTTAGGAAGTATTTACTGAGTGCCCAGGGTGTGCCCACTGCTTTCTGGTGACGAGGAAACACCAGTGAATGACAGGGTCCCCTGCTCAGGTTATCCCACGTGCAGATCTTACATCTACGGAGGCACCAGAAACAAGTAGCCTGCAAACTAGGTGAAATACAGGTAGCTGTGCAGAGAGCTCACGGCAGTGCAGGATGGTGACGGTGACCGTGAAGGTCAACTGCAAAGCCACCCTAAGCATCAGTGGGGGGAGATGACGATCATTTGTGTCTTCACAGAATTCTAAGAACTCTCTTGTTGTGGTTGCGAATGCACAGGGAAATGGAAAAAAATAAACCAGTACCATTAATATGTATTTAGCACACCGTAATGTAAAACATTGAGAATTGTTACCGGTGTGGCTCAGTGGTTGATGTTCCTCTCTCTCTAACGTCAATAAAGAAAAATAATTTTGCCCTGGCCGGTTTGGCTCAGCGGTTGGAGCGTCGGCCTGCGGTCCGGAGAGACCCGGGTTCGGTTCCCGCTAAGGGCATGTACCTCGATTGCAGTTTGTCCCCGGCCCTGGTTGGTCGTGCGGGGGCA